ATCGATATGAGGATACAGTCGCTAGCTCTCATGAAGTTGATTCGAAAGGAGTTTCCGAAGGGAGCCCAGTTGGAAGTGAATAAGACGGAACATCGGTCGAGTAAGACATGGACCCTACCGGAACTTCTGGATGGACTAAACGAAGTCATTGAGGAATCGAGAAGTTGGACGACTACCTTCCAGCCAAGTCCACTTCGGAGTTCAACATCGCTCTTGTTTTCACTCCTCGCTCCAGATCTCCAACACCGGAGCCACGTTACGATCCAAGAACGTGTTGTTTCTGTTACTCGCCTAATCATCGTTCTACTCGTTGCCATCATTACATGCCTGTGGCAAGTCGTCGTGTCATCGCTAACGTTTTCCGTCTTTGTTGGAAATGCCTTCGTCACGGACACACCAGCTCCTTCTGTGACCATCCTAATTGCCCCTCTTACAGAGGGAATCACCATTATATGCTCTGCTCGCGTTCAGCTCGACGAAGTTACCGATCACCCTCACCAGGAAGTCGTCATCATTCCCATCGACCGCGTTCTACCTCTAGTAGCTCATCACGTAGCTACGGAAGATGTCCAACTTACGATAGGAGATATTCGCGATCGCCGTCCCGTTCCAGTTCCTATTCGCCCAGACGATCTTATGACAGAAGTCCATCTCCGTGTCATAGAGGATCTTATAGGAGGGAGCGTACACAGCATCATACGGTTCGCTTTAGATCTCCAGTACGTGATACCATCTTTCTCGCGAGAACAGCGCTGAAAGAGAGCGACATCAGGGTCGAGACTCGCCGGTCTACGTCGCAGCCAATTCGGACGAAAAATACGAGGACCTTGTTCGACATCTCAAGGATCCATCCGACACGCAAGTTCGCACCACTCTGGACCATTCCACCTCCTCCAACCTCATGACAGTGGAAGCATTAGCTGTCGACCATCAGACCAACACTTCAACTTCAGTGATTCTTCTGTTGGACACAGGTGCACAAAGAAGCTTCATTTCGCAGGATGCAGTTGCTCGCCTTAACATCAAGGTCTCTCACATTACTCCGCTTACTACCGTCACATTCGGAGCAATACGTACCATAGAGCCATCCGGTATGGTAGATGTTGACCTTGTTGACAATCAAGAAAGAAAAATCCGACTTATCCTTCGAACCAAGGAGCACCTTACTGCCCCATGTTCGCCCATCAACTTCACGGCAGAGGATCGCCGATTCTTTCAATCACACAACATCCGCTTGGAATCCCTTACCATCAGCCGAGCCGTCACACCAGACATCCTCATTGGAATCGATTACTTCTGGGATATCGTTACATCGGATTGTCCTCAGACCCTTCCATCAGGTCTAGTCCTCTGCAATACACGCTTCGGTCCGACCATCTCCGGATCCAAATTTTTTCGTGGCTTACCTGCAACAGTTTTCCACTAATTCCACTTCCCCATCATCCGACGAAGCCGATCCCGTCTCCCGCTTCGACCGTCTAGACGTCATTGGTATCGCAGATGATCCTCATCCATCTTTCGACCAAGAAGAAGATTCCCCTATCCTACAACAATTCCAGGATACCGCGGTAGAGATCGACGGACACTTGCACGTACAATTCCCATGGAAGTCATCGCATCCCAGACTAGCCGATAACAAGCTCCTCGCACTCAAGCGACTCGAAAGCCAGTACAGATCCTTCGTCACAACCGGACCTTTGGAGACTCTACGCTTCAACCATCGACGATTACTTGGATAAAGGAATCATCGAGGAAGTCGACGAACATCACTTCGACAACCATAGAGTCTACTACATTCCCCATCAGGCAGTGATCAAGGAGTCTTCTACCACCACCAAGCTGAGAGTTGTCTTCGATGCCTCATCCTATTACAAAGGAGCCCCTAGCCTCAACGATTGCCTCCATCCCGGTCCATCTATCCTCCCTGACCTTGTCGGGATTCTTCTTCGATCCCGCCTCAAACCCATCCTCCTCATAGCCGATGTAGAAAAAGCCTTTCTTCAAATTCGTCTTCAACTCAATCAAAGAGATGCCACGCGATTCCTATGGTTAATGGACCCGACGTCACCACCATCAGAGACCAACCTCAGGATATTCCGATTCACCCGAGTCCCGTTCGGAATCACGGCGTCACCGTTTCTACTCGCAGCCTCCATCCTCTACTATCTACGGAGAGATCCAGATTCGCAGCTCAACAAGGAGATTGAAGAGAACACCTATGTCGACAACATACTATTGGGAGCATCCACCAAGAGAAGCGATTCGTGAGTATCAGGACTCTAGCGCCTTATTCACTTCTATGAATATGAACTTACGACAGTTTCTATCTAATTCTTCCTACGTTAATGATGCAATCAATATACAAGATCGTATGCAATTTTCGACATCAGTTTCCTTGTTAGGACTTCAGTGGGACGTTTCTAAAGATCTCATTCGTATCCCAATTCGGACTCTTCGTAAGAAAGTTATTTCGAAGCGCACAGCGCTCAAGGCATTCGCTTCTACGTTTGATCCATTAGGCATTTTATCACCATTTCTCGCACCGTTTAAGATCTTTCTGCAAGATATGTGGATAAAATCCTATCGATGGGACGACCCGTTCGAGAATGCCGACATCGCTCGTTGGAAGAAACTGGCCGAAGACCTCGCTCATCCAATTCCATTGGTCCCTCGTTGCCTTATTCCATCAGCCGATTCGCCTGTCGACTACGAACTCTGTGTCTTTGGAAATGTCTCGAAACCCCTTTACGCTTTTTGTGTTTACCTCCTTTGCCGTTGTCATTCGTCTACGACCGTCCCTCTTCTTATGGCTAAGTCCCTGCTTGGACCACGTAATCCGATCACTATGCCAAGGACGGAACTACTTGCCACCCTCATCGGTCTGCAATTAGTCCGTTTCGTCCATACACAAATCCGTCTTAACATCTCAGCGGTACATGCGTTCTCGGATTCGCAGATAGTTCTTCATTGGATACATTCGACGCGTTCACTACGCACGTTTGTCAGGAACAGGATAATGGAGATCCGAGCTATTGTGGACAAATTTCGTGACGCCCATATTCCACTTCGATTCTACTACGTTCAATCACACGACAATCCAGCCGACTGTGCGTCTCGAGGAATCCCTACTAGCCATGCTAGACACCACATTTGGTGGTCAGAACCTTCATTCCTCCGTCTACCGTCTTCACGTTGGCCCGGAAGTCAAGACTTCGCAACACCACCAGCGAATGACAACGAAGTTCAGGATGAATACCTAACACTCGTACTATCTAACATCCTACAGTATACGTCGCCATTTCGATTTTGGAGCGTCAGTCGATACACTAGACTAGTTCGATCTACAGTCTACGCCCTGAAGTTTATCGCCCATTTAGCCACCAAGATCAAGGTTATCCTCTTCAGCTTCGATGACACTCCGTTCAACTTGACTAAGGATATCTCTGTGTCGGAATTCGCCGTTGCTGAAGCACTCCTCATCAAGGAACACTACCGCGAATGCGAATCCATCCTCAGTCGTATGCCTCTATCCCGTTTCAATGCCCATCGTTCAGCGAACGGACTCATTCGTTGCCCGCATCGCATGGAACACGCATACAGTTCAGCATCGTCAGCGATTCTTCTCATCCCATCTCACCCCTTAACGACGCTTATTATCCGACATACCCATTTGTCCCAATTCCACTCCGGGACACACGCCACTATTGCTACTCTTCGACACTCCTACCTCATTCCAGCCATCAGGAGTACCGTTTCGAAAGTCCTCCGACTCTGCGTCATCTGTAAGAAGATCAATGGATTACCCTACCGTTATCCAGATATGCCGAGTCTTCCACCGGAGAGAGTTCGACGATCACGACCCTTCCAGAACATCGGTTTGGACTACCTTGGACCCTTACGTTATAAGGACACTACTACCACCTCGTCCAAAGTATGGATTTCCCTGTTCACCTGTATGGCAACCAGAGCAATCCACTTGGAGATCGTGTTGGATAACTCCACCCAAGAGTTCTTATGCGCACTACGACGTTTCAGCGCTCGAAGAGGAGTCCCAACTCTCATCCTCAGCGACAACGCTACCACCTTCTGTGCAGCAGACAACACCCTACAGGAACTCATCTCCAACTACTCGTCCAGCCGTCACATCCAATGGAAGTTCATAACACCACTATCTCCGTGGAAAGGAGGATTCTATGAGCGACTTGTTGGACTTGTCAAATCGTCGTTTCGCAAATCCATCGGACGCTCTTTACTCCCGTTGTCACAGTTCCAAACCATTATATGTGAGATCGAAGCCATCATCAACTCCAGACCAATCGCATCCATTTCGGACACAACATCGTCCCCTACCATCTTGCGTCCCATCGACTTCATCTCACCACAAGTCCATCTTCAGTTGGAACTCACGGATACGACTCGCTACGAGCAATCCCATCATCAGCTCGTCGAATGGTACCAGTCTACGCTGTCAGTTTTGGATCATTTCTGGAACATCTGGTCTCAGGATTATCTCAACGCCATTGCCCAACGTCACTTGTCTCGTGTTCGTCAAGGAAGAACAACTACACGTGAGCCACGCGTCGGAGAAGTCGTCCTGTTAGCCGACAAGCAGTTACCACGTGGACAGTGGACTCCAGCGGTCATTACCTACATCAACTACAACCATGACCGCGTCCCCAGAAGCGCTACCATTCGTCTGCCCAACGGCAATCACGTCAAGAGGTCGATCAACCAATTCTACCCTCTGGAACTCAGCGCTGCCGAATCGCCGTCGGATACAGTCATCGAGAAGTCAACGCCTTCACGTATCCAACCGACGAGAACAGCTAAGTCGCTCACCGTTATATGAAACCACGAGATACTGTACAGTCCAATAACTGACACTATGGCTTTTCTACTAATTCCTTAGATAGCCTCCTTCCAATTGCTGTTCACCCATCTTAATTCCATCCTCCACAGCAGATTTACCATCATCCGTACACGACGCCTTTCCATACCATCTATACCTTTGCGTCATTCCCGTGTACCTTGACTTGAGGCTCTTCATGTTGCTGACGTGTTCCATATGTCGTTCGACCGCAACTGAAGTCGTTTCCTCGCCGTTTACCGATTCGACGATCGTATTCTCGTGCGTCCGCGTTGTTCAATCTCTCAAGTTTTTACTTCAGATAAGCGGTGTATCTGAAACACCTTCGCACACGATATTATGGATCGATCGAGCATGCCTACGACATCGAAAGCTCCTGTCCTATAACCGCTTCGACAACGCAGAGACACGTAAGACATTCTATTCCGTCGTCTTCAGCTTTTGGTCCTTCGTCATCATCATCTCCTGGTAATCCCCTGTCAGCCTCGGGTCAGTTATCATCAGTTCCTGTTCGTTCCTCTTCAGCTGCTGGCTCTTCGTCATCAGCCCCTGGTCGTTCGTCTTCAGTTGCTGGCCCTTCGTCATCAGTGCCGGCCCAGGATCACGACTCGTTGCTCATTGCCCAGGTGCAAGGAATGTCCCTCAGAGAGACCCCCAGCCCAGTCGGATATCGTCAGATGTTTCATCTTCAAGACATGGATCTATCACACCCGGACATTTCACGCCGTCCGAGTCGCCGTTCGACTCCGCAGGAACTCATTCTGGAATACTCGAGAGGAAACTTCGAGGTTCGCGACATTTCTTCTGCCTTCGACGATGTTTCACAGGATCGCAGTTTGCCACCAGCGGAACGGATGTCATTGCAAATCGCTCAGTCGCTTACCATCGCAGCGAACATCGATCGTATGTTCGGCATAGACCAGTTGGCCACCCGAGATCTTGTCATGGTAGATGCATTTTTACGCCACTCGTTTTACAACATCATTCGTGACGCAACCGTCGAGGAAACCGCAATGTTGATTGAAGCAAACCTTGATTACCCACGTGGAGAGCAATACCCCATTTATCTCATTATCCAGGCATTCAAGGGACTGCACGCAGCTAAAAAGAAATTTCAGTCGCTTACGAATGACCTCGCCAAACACCCGGAATATTGGAGGGCAGCCGATAAGCTCACACAGCTTTTCGATGAATACCTTACGCTGTACTACAATGTTCAAACCCATCGGAACACGCTCATGGACCTTATTGTACCGCACGTCCTCAACCCCATCGAGGACACCAAGAGATTCGCCGATATCCTCAGTTACTATTCCATCACGTTGGCCGACATTAAACTGCTTTGTACCACCGCCTCTGCAGTTACCGCTACGACCACTGTTAACCTGAAGAGGATCAGCTCAGCTATTGCTCGTCTTCACGGAATCACCACCCCGCAGTCGTCGTCAGTTCAGGCCACTGAAATTGAGGAAATCGCAACCGTCCGCGACACCGCCACATCACCAGTTGACTTGTCGTCGTCTGTGACCACATCTACCCACACCACCTTCAAGTCCTCAGCCGCGTCCACCCAAACTGGTGAAACCTCG